AAGGAAGAAGTGAGCTGGAGGAAGTGATGTGTAAGGGGGAGATTTCTGGATTTCCCTTTTCAGTTCTAAAACGGCAAATTCCATTATTTCAACAAGTGCTTTGAATTTTGGGTTCGTTTCTCTGCACCTAAAGAGAGTTTGAGAACAGGTTTTAGTTGCTTCCCAGCCCTACTTCTGGTGCTCAGCCCAGAGCTTCTTCCTGAATCAACACTTCATCAGAAATTTTGATTTTTTTATAACAAAAAATTTGTGATAGTTTGGTAAAAGTCAGTATATACACACCCACTGCAGCTCTGTTCTTTCATAACCTGGGATTATTTCTCAGTTTATCAGGTCCTGGTTTGAAATCTGCTGGTGCATCTCACCCATCCATCCCCTGGCCAAGCCTTGGGGAGGCTCTTCCTCCTGAGCCACCTCTGTGCTAGAAAAAGCAATTGTTGTTTTTTAAAAATTGTTTTTAAAAACACGGAGCCGCACCACGGAGCCGCTCCGAGGTGAAATGGGGTGAGAAGGTGTTTTCCTGGCTTAATTGTTGGTGATTGATCCCCTTCTCCTTTCTGTTTCCACACCATTCTGCCATTGCGGGTCGCTGGAATTTTGAAAATTAAGGTTTTTGCTGTTGTTGTGTTGGAAAAGAGCTCAGGATCATCAAATCCAACCATTGGGAAGGGTCCATGGGGGAATGGGAAGCAGTTCCCTGAATTTCAGGCATTCCCTCCTCAATATCCAGACATAAAACACTGATCAGATCCTAAACCCAACTAATTTAAACTGAAATATTGTGTTTTTGTTAAAATACCTTACAAGAGTTTCAGGTTCTGGAGTTTCATCCTTGAAATGCAGAGAAGTTTTGGACAGTGTGTTCATTTGGTAGGTTTTGGTTTTTCCCTCCTGCACTGGGCTTGTTCCTCGTGTTCCTGTGACTTCTTGAGACAAATGATAATTTGAAAATCCCTTTAGTGAATTTCTCATCTGTTTGTTGTTTGGGCTTTTTGTTTTGTTTTGTTTTCAACCTTATTTTAACTGTGACACTTTTTATAAATCGAAATCTACACCCAGAGGTCACTGGTTGGCTGAACTTAAACCGTTTTACTTAGTAAATTTAATTAAGAAAATACAGTGCAACTCATAAGCAAATGAGTTTTTCCTAGTTTTAAACCAAACCACCCTCTCGAGTGCTGATTGCCTCGCTCGACCCCTGGTGATACAGAAACAGGCAAAATTAAAAAGGACATTAAAGCTTCATTAAATCTGAAACACATTTAGTACAGTGACATATCTGCAGGCTATTTCGGGGAAGATTACAGACTCTTTGCTAAGTTTCTTAATTTATAATACCTTGACAATGTTGCGGGCAGGAAATCTGAGCAGATGGATGCAGTGGTGGTGCAGGGGAGGCAGAAGTGGCACAGGAGCTGGCCCTGGGTGTTTCAGCTCCCAGCTTCACTGAGGAATATTCCCTTTTACCAAAGAAATTGTTGCTGGTGCATTTTGGGGTCCTTCAGTGCTTCATTTATTCACTTTATACTTGTGTCTGGCTCTTTCCCCCCCAGTTTTTCTGCTGCCTTGGAGCCCCTGCTGAGCCTGGCGTGGTCGGTGGGGATGGAAATGCTTTTTTTTGGAGTCACCCTCGAGGCAGGGATTGTTTTGCTTCAGTAACATCTGCACAAAGATGCTCTGTGCACAGAGCCATCCTTACCTGCTTGTTCTGTCTGGAGTTTCTCACTGTTCCTCAGCAAAAAAAATCAGAACTTGCTCTGCTTCTGGTCGTGGAAAACTGTTGGGCGTTATGGGTGGGTTTATTTCTGGGCTGTCACATCCACGCAGCTGCTGAGGATCTCAGATTTCTGCTTGGGACAGGAGGGAGCTGCCCCCAAAAGAGGAGAAGGTGGTAAAGGATGGGTTTCAGTAGCCCCACAACAGAAAATGAAGGGTTTTTGTTGAACTCTGGAGTGGCATTTTCCAGAGCCTGCCCTGAGGGTGACCCGAGTGGCTTTGCTGAGATGGGAATGCTCAGAGAATTCAAAAATGGTTTGGGGTGAAAGGGACCTTCAAGACCATCGGGGCAGGGACACCTCCCACTGTCCCAGG